CACATCCTAATTCCAACAGTATGTTCGGTATCTTCAATTACCATCTGCCCCCATCAATAGTAAATGTTTTCATATATAAAAAAACCACCCGAGTGACTTTATATTTATATTCCATATAGTGTCATCTATAATGTCTTCCATCTAGATTATTAATTCCAACTACCGTGTTGGGGTAACAGCCAGATCTTCTGCATGCCCCAATCCCATAGTTCTCTTGCCTTATAGCTCAGCATAAACGTAATCCATTTGTCAAAGAATCCAAAATAGAAAATTCCAATCCACTCAATTTATGGCCATCTTCACATCCCAAGAGTACAGCACTGCAGAGATCTGTCACTCTCCTCAAGATAATATACACCAATACTTTGCCTCAACTAAATTTCTAAATATTCAATCAGCTCTTAAGTAACTGGCATTACACTGTTGTTTGGTCTAAAAAATTTTATTTTTGTAGGACCTGCTTCTTCTTTTCTTAACTTTTTGTGGCTTAAATCTCCATCCTGGTTTCCTTTCTATGAGTTGTATATCAACTGTTTGGTTTCCATGCTGGTCTGTAGCTTGATAAGTCATCACATTAGAATCCAAAGCCGCCTCTCTTGTATTTATAAGTAATCCAACTGTAGCCTCTGAAGGAGAATCCAGAAGCGGCTCATCCACAAAAGCCTCTGTAACTTGTTGTTTTTCCGTTACCTCCACCTCCATCTGCTTAGCCTGAATTTCAATCTCTTGTTGATTTTGCCTTTCTTTATTCCCCTCGTGTATTATACGTGGAGATGTTAAACCCATTTTAAAAATCTTATAGTAAAATTCTTCCGCTTTTTCAACAGTATTTAGTTGATATCGTTCTCCTTGATATCTCAATATTATACCAACTGGGACATCCCACCTGAATGGGATGTTTTGTTTCTTTAGTTCAGTCACCAAAAATCCAAAATCCTTTCTATCTTTTAACATCTTGGGCAGTAGTTCTTTAAATATCCAGATCTTCCTTCCATGCATTTCAAGAGTGGAGTTGAAAGACTTTTGCACGATATCATTTCTTATTTCTTTATCAGTAAAGTAAATCACCACATCTCTAGGCAGCTGCCTTTGCTTTGCCACCCAAGAATTAACTCTGTAGGCTTTATCAATCTTGCAGGATACATCTTCAGGGCTAACCTTTAAAATCCCAGCCAGAACCTCAGCAGACATCTTTCTCAAATCTTGTCTTTTATTTTCCTGTATTCCCCTAATTCTAACCGCAAATTCCATGAGTCTGAATTGCATTATTGTGGCTTCATTTTCAATCCTTTGTTTTATATTATCTACATTGTAAGTCTTATAATCAGCTTCCTTTATTTTTTTAAACTCTACTTCTGAGCTTTTTTCTTGAACCCTTATTAAATCATTTTCAATTCTTTGTATTTTATTATCCAAATTATAAATCTTATCATCAACTTCCTTAGAGTCTATTTTTAAATTTATAATTTCATCCATCTTCAGAATTAGTTCTATAAAACTTTTCATATGTTGCTTCAGAATATCATACTTTTGTTGAACCAACTCTTTAATTTCCTGTCTAAAATTTTCAAGATTCAGATTCACAATCTTATCATGTCTAGCCATCTCCTCCAGTAGAAATTTCTTTAGGTCTATGAAGCCATTCTTCTGCATCTGCAAACTCTCAACTTGTTCATACGATTTATAAATGGGAGAGGGCCCCCCCCCCCATGGCTTGGTTATCTGGCTTTGTCAGTTTTAGTGCCATCCTGCCACACAACAGATTTTTTTTCTTTTTCCTTTTAAAGAGAAAGACTTCTCTCCAAACAATATCAATAACAAGTCTCTAAGAAGGAAGAAACATGAAATAAGAGTTTTTTCTCTTCACTTCTAACCAGCACTTTTGCTAGATACTTTGTAACTTTGTAACTTTGTAACGTTATAAACTATTCAAACGGAAGGACTTTCACTTTCAGCTTTTCTCAAGCCTCGGCCAGTCGCCATTTTAAACTCTCCTTTTTCCTCCTTTCACTCTTCTTTAATTTTAAAATCAGTCTTGGGGTTAGAATACTTGCAGTTTAGGATCCCCGATCCGGATTTCATCCTGCTTATTCAGATGATCTGTTAATTTCGTTGATTGGTCTTGTCCCAACGCCTAGCTCTGCAAAAAGGCAGAGTTCTCCCGAAGCCCGGAGCAGCGGCGAGTGGAAATAGGGAGCCACAACCTGCTTCGTCCCCAAGAGTAGAAAAAGAACTCTGGGGACTTCGCAGAGGGCTCTACCTGCCCTCGCCAGCTCTATCTCACATTTCCTTTAGGAAATGGAGTTTTTCGAGCCGCCTTTCAGATGTAAAGGCGGCTCTTTACGGGCGACGGGGCTGGCGGTCTCAGAGGACTGTCTGGCGGCGAAGGAAGCTAGACCGGAAGCCTCTCTTGAAGCAGTTTTCTAACCAGGGTTCTGAAACTCTGGGTCCACACTTGGGGAACTCGGTCGCTAGCAAATGGGGGGTGGGGGCTGTTTGAAAGGGCTGGTTGTCCCTGTGAAGTTTTGGATGTTTTTGGTCCTATCCCGGTCTGCCTGGGCAAGTCAGGAGCAAGAGTTTGCACAGCCAGCTTTGACAGGGGAGGACAAGGCATGCATTTTGGACCTTTTTGCCATGTGAGAGTTGGGAGGTTGCGCCTCTCTTGCACTGCTGCGTGGCCAGAGATCTCTCCCGTTCGCGCCGGCCTCGGGGGAAACTAAACATCTAAGCAACGGAACCGGCCAATTCAGTGGCCTTTTTTGTCACGCCGGCGTTTCGCATCCAAATCTCCACCCGATGGAAGAGCGGGAAGGAAGCGGCGCTTAGGTGTCTCTCTGCTGGCCCCTAGTCGCCAGTCTAGGCTAGCTGGAATGGCGAGAGTCCTGGAGGCGAACTGAGCTGCGGTCGTGTCTCTCATTTCAGAGCTAAGATTGCAGCCGGTATTATCGGGACCGTATACTGTACTGTTAAACAAAAAAAAAAAAATACTGCTAGAGCCAAACACGCTCGGAAGGCATCTTTCCCTTCTCTGTGGAAGCCTGGCTAAATCACAAAGGAAGACAATACATCGTGACACCAACCCTCGAAGGGGAGGGAAATTCATATAGAAAAGAGACGGATTAGAACTGGATGACCTCCATTTCCTTGGTGGTTGGAGATCATTGAGATTGCCCTGCAAGGCAGGGTACCTCTGTGTTCTGGAAGGCTGGGGCACTACTGGGGAAAGGCACCCCAAAATGGGATGAGACCAAAAGGGACAAGGGAGGGCTGCATTGGAGAGGAGAAAGGGAAGTGGTGGGTGCAAAGGGGAAATGGCATCTGGGTGGGAGTGATGGGTTTTTGGAATGGAAGGTAGTGGGGCAGGATGACCTGCAGACAGTTTCCCATAACTCCCGTCTTTTCAGGTTAAGGTTAAGGTTCATGCTCAGTACTACCAAAGAGGAGGTAATAGTCTCCCTCAAGATGCATTTCACAGACATGGCCAGGAAGTGGACTGGCACTGCTGCCTTCAATTTCTTTGATTTCCCAATCTAATCTAAAGTAGTGGTCTTTCCTGTGGTCTTGCATCTAATGCTAATTAAGGTAGCCACCTAATCCTGGCTAGCTTTCATACAGTACCGCACAAGCTGGGTCTTCAACCTTCAACCTAGCTGCTTCAACCTAGATGAAGCAGCATAAAACAATAGAATAACCACCCACAGAATTTCAACTATTGTTGTTGTATCCAGAGATATAGAAGTTTACAGATACAATGCAAAAGGAAAGGAGGATGAGGAGGGAAGAAAGGAATATGTACATTCTGATAGCAGGTCTGCAGTTTTCTTGTTTCAAGCCAAACACATAATACTTCTGTTGAGCTGATGGATGGCATCCTGCAGATGGATGGCATTCTCTGCAATGGAATGAGTGCATATGGATGTATGTAGCACCTGTCGGCAATTTAATATGTTTAGCTATTAAACCAAACATTTCTGGGTGCAGCAAGGAGGGCAACTGCATGATCCTTGGAAAAGTGCCAGCTATTTTAAAGAGTTGCTGACAGGTGCTATATAAGGGCTCTCCCTGAGTGGCAATGCAACATTTTCCCTTCTAAGGTGAAGCATTGCAGCCCTAATAAATATTATTAAATGCAGTAACTAAATGGATTAAAAGGTAGCAGTGCACAGTGGGTTGTATGGTCTAACCCTTTAGATTGATTGATTCAGTTTGTATACACTGAAGCCAGATGACGCAACATCATTGATTAACAGTGATGATCTGCTTCAGGGCCCAACTGGTCAAAGCAGCTGCTGCTGGAATATACCATTAAAAGAAAATCCTAGAAATGTAAGTGGTAGGCAAATGAATCAATTGGATTTTGCTTTTGGGAATGTAGAGTGAATGAGGAAGCTGGAATAGTGGTAGGTCACAGTATCCTCACTGTCAGCATGTCCATAAAAGCAGTGATTCTCTCCACAGTTGTCACTACAAATTCTTTTTTTAAAAGAAGCATAGCAACAACGATGACTTTAACTGAGTTTAAACATGCTTTGGATAAAGATATGTCTTTCATCTGACCAAAATTTAATAAATAAATAAAAATAAAAATATTATTTAAAATAGTAAATTAATTAATTAAAAAGAAAAAACTCAAAGGACACAGTGGATGGACCACTGAGTCTTTTTCTGCTATCAGTTTTCTATGTTACTCTCCAGCAAGCTACATGTGGCTGACATCTGGATAGCAACCAGCCTGAGAAATTATATTGTAGAATAAGGGTGAGCAGTTGATTGTCTTGGCCTCTAAAGCAGTTCTTACTACCTTCTGTGAATTTCTTTGCTGTATAACCAAGCCCATTTTGCTTCGGAAGGTCCAAGACACAGGCAAAAGGCTTTTTAGCTCCCGCCTGATTCCCAGCACATCTCCTGCATTTGTCTGAAACAGATTGCTCCATGTATGATTTAAAATTAATTAGTTCAATAGTTAAAACACAATTTAAAATATATTTCACCTTCCACAGAGGCAACTTAGGGTCAACTTTCTAAAATGCTTCCATGTCATTGGCACCAGTTGTCCTGAAAATGCTTCCTTTTCAAAGTGGAACCAGCCAATTTTGCCTCAAATGGTGAGTCAATCATGAGTCACACTCTCTAGCTGTCTACTTGAAAGTTGTGCTTTGAAATAAATTTGTACTCTAGGACACTGTGGGAATTTTATGGGTTACTCAGTGCATTTTTTATATATAAATCACATGTGACCATTAAAAACTGTTTAAGTCCCCATCTAGGAATAGTTTATTTCCTATGAATGGGTATTGTTTTATTTTTTAAAAATGATTTTACTCTCAGAAAATGCATGTAGAAAAGTACCTAAGAAGATAGACAAATATAACAATTTTGTTTTGTCCAAATTATATGACAGCAGGAAGGGAAAGCACGGTATTTTATAACTCATCTTTCTAGTCTAAAATATAAGAATTAATTTGGAAAAATGATGTGAACCTCAACCTGGTATTCTTGAGATGAATCCATTCAGTTTCCCTAATCCCAGCATTCTAGTCAACACATCTGGAGGGTACTAGGTTGAGGAAGGCAATAGAAGATGGAAAATGTGATTATACATGGATTAAAAACGTCTGCACTGTTATCTTCATTTCACAAGGCAACAGTATGTAACATCAGGGGTCTATTTTCCCCTCCAACTGTAGTTTCCTTGGGTAATCCATGATTCAGTGGTTGATTTTAAAAGTTAAATTATTAGAAGCAATTTTCTATAGCCCAGTGTTCCTATAAAAGTAAAATGACTCATAAGAATGCTAAATACAAACCAGATGATCCTAAACATTAACTGAAGAGGAAAAAAGATAAAGTTCAGTGTGGGTCCTCTCATAAAAATGAAATTCTTTTCTGTACCAAGAAAACAGTTGGTTATATAAAATAGGAAATTGAGAGAAAAAGGTAATTATTTTACCTGTCCCAAACTGTTAATTAGCTTTAGCATTTCCATACATTTTCATTTCTGTTCTAATTTGAAAAAAAAAAAAGACCAGTAAGTAGTTATTGAATTTTTCCTACAATGCAAGGATGTTTAGTCCTATATCAATTATAATTTCAAAAAATATCTGGAGTGTACATTTAAAAGGGAAATGGTTCTGACTATAGATCAGCATAATATAGAAATCTTCATCATGACAGTAATGTCACAGCACAGTGGGTTGCTACTGGTTCACCCTAGATCCGCCCACCCGCCCAGACGCTTCTGCGCATGCACAGAAGTGTTGCACGTGAGCGCACGCGCATGAGCGAACCGGTAGCAACGGGTTTTGAAACCCGCCCCCGCAGTAGCATTGTGATCCATCTTCACATTTACTACCTTTACAAGTCTATAAAGCAAAAGAAAGCTGAAGTAAGATCATAAGGACAGTCCTGGTTTCATTTAGTGACTGCTTCAATTAATGACTGAATTGCTGGTCCCAATTGTGGTTGCTGAATGAGGACTACCTGTATTTTTGAAATAATTATTGATCTTAGATCCCTCAAAAGTCTTGCCCTTCTGTATATTGTTTTATATATTTATATTAGGATAGTAATACACATCATATGAATTAGGAATGGCATTTCACCGGAGAGCCTTTCAAATCCAGCCCATGTGATGTAACATTGTAACCTGAAAAGAATAGCAGATATTTTGATGTGTTGTTATGTTGATGCCTTTGGGAGTGACCCATGTTTACTTATTCATAGCACAACAAGGTTACATAATGGTTCATCTGAGTAATCCTATATATTAATAGTGGCTAGTGTCAGTAGTAGCACTGAACTGTTGCTTTGTGTTAGTAACCTATTGCAGTTATATTTTAATGCTGTTGCAGCCTAATTAATATAGTGGTATGTTTTCACAGCATCCATTCCACAATTAGTACTGGATTTCCTAATTATATATTTATAAATCAAAAGTCTATAATTAGCATAGTGATCTGTTTCCACAGTATCCATCACATAACTGCTATTAATAATGCCTTTTATAATTAGATACTTAAATATTAGAACATACAATTCAGTCTTTTTTAAAATAATGAAGTTTGCATTACCATTCACAATTGCAAATCCAACATCTGTGATAAGGCAGCATGGCAAAGAGCAGGCTACACTTTGATTTATCAAAATAGAAGCCAAGTTCAAACAAATTTCCTTCCTTCCTGAGACTGTGGTTGAAATAAAAAAAGGACTACATGATTGTATAAATATAACATTTGAATTCATTTAATCTACTATGGTTTTCCATGTATATGAGATTGCTGTGGTTGCTGGCATCTTTATAGGCTTTTATGAAATAAAAATATGTTTGAAGCTCCCTTGGCAAAACAATTATATAACAACTTCACTGCTAGACTAGAACTAGGCAGCTTGATTGCACATTTTATTGGTTTTTGATCACCTGGCATTATTAAGGATAAAGTTAAAGATCAAAAATAAAAATAGAGTATTTCCATTTTTTTAAATCATGGTGATTATTGATTAAAATATCAGAAATAGGCTTCAATGAGCCACAGGTTTTGTGGGATTCCGTTCTCTGACTCTGGAGAAAAGAGGGCAACTTTGGGGAAGAAACTGCAGAGAAATCTTCCTCTCATTGGATGGCTGAGAGAAGCTGAGGTTCTCTTGACTACTGAACTCTTCTAACATTAAGTGTAGCCAAAGACATTTTTATTGGCCAATGACCCTTTTTTTTCTCCTCTCTGTCCATCCTTTCTTTGATTTCAATTCCATTTCTTGCCCATGGGACACTTCTGTCTTCCTGCCTTAGCTCATGAGGATCCTCTGTTCTTCAGACGTAAAAACAATGGGGATAGTGGTATTAAAACCTATCGGACTTAATGCACCCATGTTATATGATAGCTCATTTTTAAAATATGATCAGTATGTTACTGCTTTTATATATTTGAAGCCAAGGATAGTACCTGTCCTGGATAATATTCTGGGAGTTCCCCTCCCCAATGTGAGTTGTCTATCTCTCTAGCTAGTACAAAATGCAGTGGTGCGGGCAGTTATGTGCACCCCTAGATCAATGCACATTCCATCCTTGCTCTGCAAGCAACATTGATTGGGTTCAATTTAATGGGCTAGTAATGACCTACGGTATAAAGCCCTAAATGGCAAGGGGCCAGTTATTTGAGAAACTGCCTCCCCAGTCACATCTACCTATCTCATCAAGAGCAGCAGAAAGGGCATGTTGATGTCCACAAAGGGAAGTCTTTTCTGCTGCAGCACCTGGTCTCTGGAGCATCATTGCCCCTGAGAATAAGTTGGCCCCAACCCTGTTGGCCTTGCCAAACAGCCAGAAGAGACTGCTTTGGCGTCTGGTCTGGGGATGATCCAGTAATGATGATATTGAGCTTGCAGGGTGCTTGTAGTGCTATAGAGAAATTTGTGCTACTGCCGTGAAAATTATGTTTTTCGGGGTTTAAAATAGTATTTTTAATTAGTTTTAATGTTTTGATAAGTTTCTGTTATTGTGGGAGGGGGATTGTTTGTCTTTGGTTTTAACATGGTTTGGTGCTCAGAGTCACAGAACTAATATGGATGGCTATATAAACTAAAATAAACAATAAATTAATTGTAATAAGTAAACGAGTACAACTTCTAGTTGTATTAATCTTATAGATTTCATATTGGAACCAGGAACTTGCATCTCATCCTGGATCATTATTTTCTTATCAGGATAATCTACGAAACCAGACAGAAAAATGTTATATTAAAGTTAACTGACAACTGCAAATATTTAGTAATTAGAAATGACTAAAATTAGTCAAATTATAAATATTTATTCTGCTAATTGAATAATGTGCACATTTACTTGTCCATGTCACTAAAATAAAACAAAGTTAAAAACACTCAAAATATTGTTTTGGTCAGAATTAGTGCAAAGGGAGTAAGTACTCTGCATAGTTAAAACTTTTTTGAGCTATGCCCAGTGTTTCTGTTTTTTAGATGTATAGCTCGTACATTTATTTAGTATGTTATTTATTTAGTGTAGCATAATATAGATGTCTTTCAGAAGAATAATGTTTATCTTAAACCAGTTGTTTAAATTATATAAATCTTGTCTGACAAGTTGATGAACATTATCAGTAATTTTCAATACAGGTAACAGTAGGCTGAATATAAATATACATAACTATTTCCTATAATTTTCTTCATTTGCCTCTCAATGAATCAAGTTACAATGTACTGATGGGATATAGGGCTGGAAGTAATTCAGTGATAAAGCATGTGATTGTCATTTTCAATCTTCTTGCACTCCATGCACCCCTTGATTTGGTTTGTGTTCCAGCCAACCATCCAAAGGGGAATAATAAAAAAAAAGAATCAGATATCTGGTCTCAGATTCATTTTTCTTTCTCATTTGTTTCTCATGGCAATAAAAGAAGAACACATAAAAATGCTGGGAAGCAGCAAAACCTGCCCCCCTCCCCCCCCAAATAGCAACAAATATTTGGAGGCATTGTAGCACTATTGTTCCAATGGGAAAGTGGAATTCTCAGAAGCTTGAAGATAGCACTTATGATGTTACCTAGTTGGATAATGAAATGTCTGCAAACAAATAACTGAGCTTGAAGAGCACCAAGGACTCCACAGTCTGGAGAAGAGTCTGAGGAATATCTTATTAATGAAGAAGGTTCTCTTCTCACCCTTTTCTCTGGGATAGCAGCTGAGCTGGAAATTAATAATTTCAGTTTGCAAAAATCTCCATGGATTGTGGGGCACAGAGAAGTTCTTACTGGTGAAAAGGATTTCAGATCACAGCAAAAACAAAACAGGAAGATCAGACCCCATTTTCTTGCAAATATTTCTCTTTTTTTAGTTAATTGCAATACCCTTGGCAAGAGACCAAATACAAATCCATTTTTTATCATTTACAAATGAAGGATAAAAGTACTTCAACTTTGTTCAGAATACAGCAAACAAAAGCTTCTTGATCGTTTTTCCTTTGGTGCTTGTTGGATGGGCCTAATCTTTCCAACAGATTGGTTGGGGCGTTATTTGTACTTTGTTACAGATAGCTTATGGCCTTATCAGGCTTCATTCCTAGTCCTGAGAGCATTTGAGCAATGAACCATAACATCATACTGATTAATACTCTTGTTTATAGGTACACATGCTAGACCTGCTCTGAATTCTGATGATGGCACACTGAAATCTGATTCATGAAAAACCACACAACATTCTGGTTTGTTTTTAATTCTGTTCCAATGACCAGATCAAATTTCAGAGCTGAAAATGGTCAGCTGAGGGGAAAGAGGTTGTGTTGACAGAACAGTTTTAAACTTAAAACAGAACCCTAGTCAAAATAAAATAAAACATAGTTGGCTCATTATTATTTTTATGCATAGTTCATAAACTGTGGGGCAAACTCAGGAAAGAAGAAGCCAGAATTAAACCAATGCCTGGCGTCTTTAAAAACATTAGTAATTGTTCAAAGTGCTGCTTGTTATGAGACATTTGTACCTTTTTGTTGCCAAGTCAGTGATTGGTAAGTTAGTCATCAGAATCCCTGGAGCTTCTAAATGAGAAAAATGCTGAATAACCTGCGACTCAGCTTATAATCAACCTTAAGCAAACATTAGTAACTCTCAACTGCCTCCTCCATCGCCCACACCCTTAATGCTATTCATTCCCACACTAAACCGGATCTGAACTGCTGCCAGCAATTTTCATAAGTTGTTGCAGACAATATACTATGCTCTTCAGTCACTTTCCAATCTCTTTTGGAAACCATAAATGCATAGTAGGTTTTCAAAGGCTGGCTAGCTGTCTCATTACTTACTGCCTCACCATATAGGGATGCAAATATTAATTCCTTCTTTGCCCTCGTTCTCCTCTTATTTATAGATTTTCTATTGTTTTCTTAAAACCAGTAATCAATCACAAAAATAGGATTTACTTCTCCACTTTGTTAGGTCTATCCATCTGGGAGGAGAACCAAGTATTTTTCAGCAAGAGTTTATATTTCATAATTTCCATTTTCTAAATGTAACTTTTAAAAATTTATATTGAGCACACATGCACACCACAGTTTGATAAAATGTACCACCAACTTTGTTTTTTAAGAAGCTATAATTACAGCCACACAGGATTCTCAAAAATATATTGGCTATTTAATATGATTAAACTTCAAAAATCAAAACAATGACACCTACACTCAAATATAGCTGAACTTTGTAACGAATCCAAGGAATCCACATCCTGTGTGTATTTTAGTTGAGGCTCAATGTTAATTTTTTTTCACCTTTTATTTATCATGAATTATCTACTGGATGTAAATGAAGAGTGGAAACTGAGCCTTCAGGTGATTTCTGTGGTAAAACGTTTGTGCTTTTTCTTTAAAGGAGAGAGGGGGAAATACTTTATTTCCTTTGGCATTTTGTAAATGAAGTTAATGGTGGGTGCAGGATCCCAAGGAAGGAAATGTGTAGGGATTAAAAGAGAAAAAAGGCAATTGTGGTGGGATTTCTACCCTGGAGGGCTAAAGTGGAAAAAGTGAACAATAGTCTTAATGTTTCGGCTCTGGCCCAGGGAAATCACCACTTGCTAGAGAAGAAGTGGAAAGAATGCCCTATGTGTAAAGTTTCCGCAACAGTAGAATCATAGAGATGGATGGAGATGGTAAGGCCAATGCCCAACTCAGTGCAGAAATTGAACCATCCCTTCCATGCTGGCTCATGAATTTTGGGAGTTGAAGTCCACAAATCATAAAGGGGCCATAGTTCCCCAGCTCTGCTCTAAATTCATCTAGCTAAACAGAGGCTACTGTTCTTTAGGAATTGGTTCCACAGTAAAATTGTTCATACTTTTTCTAACACTCATTTGGAATCTGGCTTCTGTACTTTATATCCCGTATTCCATATCTCTGGGGTAACCAAGAATGATATTCTTCTGCTTGACTTCCTTTCAGCTATTTGAAAAATGCTGTAATATTCTCCTCACATTTTCTGTTCTTAAGGCCAAACCTCAGTTCTTTCAATCTCTCTTCATAGGACTTAGTTTCTAATACCATAATATTTTGCTGTTATTGTTCTTCTTGGAACATGTTGCAGTTTTTCTGAATCTTTAGTGAACCGTAGTGTCCATAAGTAAACACAGGAGGCAAGGTGGAGGCACTTTGACAGAGAATAAAGTGGGGCTATTACTTACCATGAATACACTTTGAGCACAGTTTTCAAGCCAGGTATGTATCCACTTAGTTATCATGCCTTCCTGGCTACATTTAATTAGCCGGATAATCAGAAGGTCATGAGTTCTTTTTGCTGAAATTAAGATGTATTATCTCTAATGCATTTCCCAGATTACTACAGGAAGTAATCTGATCAAAAGATGATATAGTCTGGCAAGACTTGTTCTTGAAAAATCTATGCTGACATATAGATTTCTTATACTATGTTGTACTACTTCCAGAAGAAAACATAATAAAATAAATTAAGGTTATCATAATGTTTCTTTTGATCTAAAATCTTTTTGATCATTCCTTTAATAAACTGATTTTTAAATGCTGATTTATATGTTCAGTCCTTTTTAGCAACTTGGTGTTCACTGTAGCGAATCAAAATTTATAAACCATGATAAACACATATTGAAGAAATACAGCAATAAATGAAATTAATATCAACTTGTTCCATAAAACCTTTTAGTAAAAATTATATTTTCATTTTTAAAATACATGTTTTCATATTTAAATCTAATCTGTGAAAAAAGATAAATCAATCTCTTCCTGAACTAGCTCCAAGCATGATCATCTTTGCAAGGTCTGTATCTTTTCCAGTACAATCACAGTAAATGAGAAAAACAATCATACACACATCAACACCCCACCGCCAAAATCTCAAGGGAAAGATGACTTCTAAGGCATTGGTCCAGATCTTTAAGGGATATTTTTCACATGGCCAACAAGTAAATACATTCAAAGATTACAACTGACCTATCTATATATGTATTGCTTTTAATCTATTCCCTGAGTTGACCATACGGAAACAAAATGGCTAAACAGAACGAGGATGTTGAATTATTGTAACTAGCTATCTGTCTCTGAGCAATTTTTGGAAAGCTGAAGTGGAATCTCATTATGCACTGGGGAAAGGTGGGCAAACAATATATTACTTTGCTAAGGGAAAAAATAATTTCCAAGGAGGATCTGGACTTATTTAAAGTAGCAATAGCAATAGCACTTAGACTTATATACCACTTCACAGTGCTTTACAGCCCTCTCTAAGTGGTTTACAGAGTCAGCATATTGCCCTCAATCTGGGTCCTCATTTTATCAACCTCAGAAGGATGAAAGCTTGAGTCTACTTGACCCGTTCAGAATTGAACTCCTGGAGTGAGCAGTGAGTTAGCCCTGCAGTACTGCCTTCTAACCACTGGGCCACCACGGTAAATGACACAGTCAATACATAATCTACAACATGATGGTTGCAATCCAATTGAGTTTCCTATATTACTTTTTAAAGTAATATAGAGCTGAGATATCTAATTTCAGAATTGTAATATCATACAGGGGAAACTATTTTAGTTCTCTAGCCTGAATTTAGCAGAGAATAGGCCTTTTCTCAGCTTTGAGTTAAAATGCTATTAACCAGTCCCTGAATTAACATATCATGAAATGTGCTATCTGTATTGCAAATGATTATTCTGCATTTATTATGTCTGTTCCAGATCACTTTGGATGATTATGTGTTTTGTGTGATGCATTAGTAGTGTAACTGTGAAATGTTGTGAATCAGACTTTCTCCTCGTCCTGTCATCTCAATTCAACCCTATCAGGACCAAGTAGTTTTGGGGTTTAGGTCCTCTCCACTGAGTCTGGAGATTTTCCATTTTGACCTTGGCTGAGGTTCCACTCCCATAGACAGAGTTGGTACACAATCTGGCGGTCCTTCTGGGATCGTAATTCCTTCTTGTAAAGCAGGTAGCAGTGGGGGCCAGCAGGATTTTCATAGAAATTCATCTTGTGGGCTATTGTTTCCTTTCCTGTAATGAGAGGGTCTTCCCTATAGAAACTTCCCAGTTCGACCATAGCAATGACCTTTACATGGGTTTGCCTGGGGGAAAAAATCTGGAAACTGCACTGGCAGAAAATGGCAGTGGTACAAAAGTTCTGAATACACTTCATTTTGCACACATAACACTACTGGTATGTGAACTGTACTGGCCTTCCAGTAGGCTTCTTGATGCAATTTAAGGTGCTGATAGTCACCTATAGAATTCCACATGTCACATGGCTAGCCTATTTGTGGATCCGTCTGTCCCCAGTTGTGTTTTTCCATCTCAACAGAGGCAACAAGGTAAATATATATTAAATCCCTTCCCTAAAACACTG